GGGCTGCTGAAAAATCGTAAAGAATGTTAATAACTTCTCGCTGTTACTTAACCACGTGAGCGCCTTATAAAGGTGGAATTAGTTCCTAATCGAAAGTGTTTGTATTAAACATACGCGCGGGATCGTCAACGTCAAGACTTGAACGTTAGATTAATTAGCAATAACAGGTACGGCTTCGCGTAACATTAGAATATGCTATTTTCGCGCGTCAAAGAGAACTAAACGACTTAATCACCTGCGAATATGTATCTCCGATCGAATAAAAAATTATAGTTTATACAAAAAGTATCTGATGAGAAAAACGTATTAATTTTAATTAAAGAGTATTTTACACATTCAAAATTTAATCAAGTTTCTACAAAATTGAATTATTTATAAATTCATAAATTTAAAAGCTTTTTTCATAATGCTAATTAAACATATTTCAATCTTGTAGTAATTTAATTGTTATTGACAATATATAATTGCTGCAAAGCAAACAATATAAAGCGTTTTTTTGCAAATTTTTTATGAATATTGCATTTTGCAAACAAAATTTTCGATCTCTCTAAGATATTGTCTTGATTTGAATACTAAATATTGTCTGCTATACGCACTATTGCTTATCGTGCAAGTAATGAAAGATCTCATTTGAAACAGAAACACAGCGACAAAGCAATGCGAGTTCTCCGTGGGAAAGGCCGTTCAAGCGGCAAAGAATCTTAACGGACGCGGATTATATCTGAAGAAGGACGTTGTTAGTAACAATTAAAGCGTGTACACACGGACGTGGTTTATAACCGAATATCGTCGGACTTTATAGATCCTATTAGGAGTACGTTCCGCGATCTCTCGTAAAAAAATTCACCTGGGGCACCATTGACTCGCTTACGCAGTTAATAACTGTGCGACAATTGTTCTTAAGAATCTCGCGTTGATTTAATCCCGACATTCAAGTATTTCTCGGTTTAATTACTCAAGTCGATATTTTTCTCGCCTACATATGTTTAAATTTAATTTCTATTGCAAGAATATAGATTAATTCAGAATAATTAAAAAAAAATTAGAAAACGATATTTCTTAGAGACCAGAAAGTAGACCGAAAATATGTACCTATAGTACAACAAATAATTTTTTGTATTCTTTCAAACTTGGTCGATTATGCGTTAATTGCGTTTTAAATTATTTCCTTCTCACTATCCTGATTAAATTTTAATAAATATTGAATAAAAATATTTATTATGAAATATAAAAATGTTTTTAATAAATATTATAGTAAATTTTTTGAGAGATAATTGCAATATCACGATTATCTATGTAAATATATATTTAAATAACAAATCTCTACGGGGTAAGCGATCAATGTTCAGTTGTGCCATCACTAGCACACGCTTCCATTTAAGTAATGAATCATTAAATGCACAACTCACCAATCAGGATATTGCAGGACTGCTCCATCCGCTGCAAGTTCCAAGTTTGACATCCTCCGCATTAAATCCAAGGAAAAGATGAATATACCAGAAGTGAGCACACACGCACACCGCACACTTAATTCCGCACACTTAATTACACATATTACTGAACGAATTTCGAAAGTTAATCCACATGAAAATCGCGAAGTCACGTGAATTAGCTACACCGCGGTATGCGAACTACAAAACGAGATAGAATGCATCTTGTTGCATAGAGCTTTTGCTTCAATTACATAACTACAGTCGGTTATAATCTGCACCAAATAATGAACTTTTCATTAGACGTGCGTTTAGGGCATTGTACAAATCTCTAAATAAAGTTGCCTTTGGGATCCTTAAAGATTCAAAATTCGTCGGATTACAACATTCGCCTATTACACTGTAAAAAATTTAATGTCCCAGAAAGTCCACTCTAAATTTTGTGTTAAAATAACACAATGCATGAGTTATTTTAACACAAAATTTAGAGTGGACTTTCTGGGACATTAAATTTTTTACTGTGTATTTTTCCAGGCACTGATATTACTGATACTGTTTATTTTTATGCAATATTTATTTTTATTAATGTAAAGTCGTGACTCAGATATGATAAAGGCTTCCTTTTGTAGCGATCACAGCATTATTTACAGCGATTTAATACATTTAATCTACGAGCAATGATCGCGTCTAATGCAAAAAATAATCGCGATCGCCAATTATATAAATATTATGCCATAAGCACTACTTATTTGAATTAAGTCAAGCACATAATCTTATTAACGTAATAATCATAACATTGACTACTCTTCTGACAGAACGACTACAAGCAGTGATTGCGGCTAATGTAAAAAATAATCGTGATCACTGTCAATTACTATATACACAGATATTACACATATTTCAATTAAATCATGCACATAATTTTATGAATTTAACAATCAGAACACTCACTACGATGATCACACTTTCTAATCTATAAAACAACTACAAGCAGTTATCGCGGCTAATGTAAAAAATAATCGCGATCACTACCATAATTATATTTAAAAATGCTACCAATTATTACGTATATTATTATTATATATAAATACTGCTCATTTCAATTATCTTACGTACATGCATATTCATCATGCAAGTAATGAATTTGCATGATGAATTAATGAAATTACTACAGCATGGAGTTTATTTCTAGGAACTATCACCCGTTCGCATTCCACGTATATGGTGTTATACATAATGTATGCAGCAATGCTATACGATCGCACGAAGTTCTCTTGAAGGAACTGTCGCACATTACGTCTGTTCGTACTATATCAATACAATAAACTATATCAAATAGCAGATTTTTCATTAGGCGCAATCTGCACACCCAATATATACGATGTAAATCTCGAATACGCCACGTCTAAGGAAAAGTACGTGACGTGTGCCTCTTTCGAGTCGAGCCTCTCAAAAGTGCGTAAGGACCATTTTCGCGTACCATAGGCATCGGAATCTGTACTCACTGGTACTGTGCGACGGTTTCAAACCGCGGTGCAGCTTCAATCGTCGACGGTCGAAACGGCACCAGTCGCGAGAACCCGAGACAACCGACACGCCCCGGCGATAGCTCGTCACTTCAAACGACACTCCCGACCGAAATTCGCGTCAGTTGTGCGCTTTTATGGGGCAAAATTCGCGATTAAACGCGGAGCAGTCGCACCTTCCACTCCGTCCGACGCGACGTGCCGAGACTGTCATGGCGACCGTCGAGCGCGCGCGTCGTCGAGATATTAGAATTTGGAGCATTCACGATTAGCGCTCGCGACGATGATCAGATGCCTTTCACGCGTCTTTTACGGAAGCTACGATGATAAACAATGTTTCAATCGATGTTATTCGTGAAGATTCGAACGGACAGAGACTTACGAATGAAAGAGCCGCGAAAAGGACGATCTTTACCCAGCGTTCAAACTTCACATTGGCGCGCGACGATGCAGAAATTCGAGCATTTTGCGGGTTACGTGGCGCCATCTGTACGGTGCACATTGGTACTTGAGTAGTGAAAATCTAACAGGTAGCCGATAATAAACTCTCAGCCGATAAATTCTTCTGCCCAACAATTAAATTAAATTTCATAGATTTATTGGATTATGCGGACGAAATGGAGTAAATGCTTTCACTCTAAAGATATATGCATTTGTTTCGCATGCATGTCCCTTGGCACAAAGTCCGTGCATAGCTTATTATTTCCGTGACTCGAAAATAAGAAATCGAGGACGTACAGTTCTGAGTAATAAATAATGCAGAAGTATTATATTTCATGTTTTTCATCGAGTTCTATATGTTAACTGCGTGAAATCAAGAGATAGAATATTCGCGACAACCGCAAATGTAAAGCGTTACGATAGCAATTTCCTTTTGTGCGTGGTTACGCGGCGACCGCGACGTCTACGCACGTTTTATATACGGATAATGCGGGCAACAATAATTCGCGTGCGGCATATAGACAGCAATATTTTCGCACTTGTCACGTCGAGAGATCGTAAAAGCTGAAATTGTCTGCGCCCCTGCGTGGAAAACCGCAGGACAGGGTAACCGCAATGTATTGTCCTTCAGTCAGCCCGAGTTCAAGACCGAGTTCAATACCGCGGACATACACATATCACAGAGTAATTAAATAATTACGTAATTATAATAATCAGCTCTACAACAAAGATATAAGACAAGATTACATGTTTTATGTACATTAATTATGTATATGTTTTGTAATTATACATATATATAAAAAATTTTTTCCGGGTTGATATAAAGATGCAGATTGCAATCTTTATGTCATGATTGCAGTGTGCATGGCCAGTTCTCTACAGCATGGAAGCATAAGATTGGACACGGTTTTGATTAATAAACATAGAGAAACATTGAATTCCACGTTCTTTATTCAATTCCAGACGTTTTTGAGACTTTACCAAAAAGACATCTAAACGTTATCTTTTATAAGACATTTTTTTAAAGTATGTAACAGCTTTTCTTTTCACGTTGAAGAGAAAAAGAGAAAATGAACTGTACAATAAAAGTTCAGCTAAAACGAACAGGGGCCCGATTCTCTATCGACAAACGTATGCGTAAACTCTGCTCTAACAGAAAAGCTGCAAGCTTATTGGCTAAAAACTGTGCAACAGCCAATCAATTTGCAGCCCTAGGCGTAACTATTAAGCCTGTTCTTTTTGAAGGACCTTTCTGGCAAACGACACAAGTGTCGTTTAGACTTTGTTATTTATTTCCAAAAAAAAAAGATAGAACGCACACCAGCATTGTTCTGTCCTTGTTCATTTTTTAGTAAGTAGCAAAGATAGAACGACGCGCTGTGCACCCGAGTAAAGTTTTCAAACGCAGTCTAGCTGAATTTCTTGCACGGTTTATCTTTTCTCTTTTTCTTTTCAATCTTTTCATGTTGGGGAGATAAAGAGAAAAGATAAATCGTGCAAGAAGTTCAGTTCAGCTAAAAAAGGAACCAGGCCAATTATCTATTTTATAAAAAAAGTAGTGGGTAGCACTGGGTACATATTTCTTGTGTTGGCTATTCTGCAATCATGCTGCTGCTGAAGCGCGCTGTTCGCTCTTCCGGTTTGCGTCGATCTTTCAGACGATCAAAATGGCTGATCAGGTATGTGCTCGACGCCGCGATCATAAATAAGTATATTTCCTCACGCATTACGGCATTATTCTGTGAAATGTGCCATTTTCTCGCGATGAGTAGCATCACGGGTAATCGCACGCGAAAAATAAGAACGTAGATCGAGATGGTTGAAGTGGTTCGAGTGGTTAGAGTTCGTTGGCGTAACACGTGGTTAGGTCGCCCGCGTGTGCCGAGATCCGAACACGGAGGAGTATATCTGTAATAAAGATGCGTAATACGATTTTGTTTGTTGCAGAGCGAGCGCGCGTTTCAGAAGCAACCCACGATCTTTCTTAACCGCAAGAAAGGTCTGGGCCCGAAGCGCAGGAAGCCCATGAGATACAGCCGCAACGTCGGGCTCGGTTTCAAGACGCCTCGTGAAGTAAGTTCCAGTACCCTCTATTCTTCTGATGAATAAATTCGTATATTATTAAGTTAATTTACATTCGTGCATAAGATGAGTATTGATAAGTCGGCGAGATGCGTATCGAGATTAAGGTTATGAAACATGTATAAATAGGATATAATTTATTAGACAAGATATATTTATTTTATTACAATAGGTAATTTAATAAATAAGATATGTGGAGTTAGAGGTAGAGTTAATTAAAATGCATTACTAAGGATTAGTTCATGTAATTTTATGCCTTGTTTTTGATATAATTATCGTTACTTTGAATATGATTAAGGTATTAAATGATGATAACAACGACGGTCTTCTGACAATATATTTTTTGATTGAAGATTCTATATTCTTACACACTGAACATTTTTTACATTTAATTCTTTTTTATTAGTAAAAGATATGCGAGATGTCTTATATATTTTGCTGGTTTAATCTTCGTAGGCTCTCGAAGGAACTTACATCGATAAGAAGTGTCCATTCACTGGCAATGTATCGATTAGAGGACGTATCCTTACTGGAGTCGTACAAAAGATGAAGATGCAACGTACTATAGTTATACGCAGGGATTATTTGCATTATATTAGAAAGTACAACCGTTTTGAGAAGCGTCATCGGAATATGAGTGTCCATCTTAGTCCTTGTTTCAGGTACACAAGCAATGAGAGAATTTTATTTATTCTAGAATTATTAAAATTATTTTAATTTTTATTTGTATGATGATAATTCATATCACGATGGTCTACTGACAAATGTTTTGATGATTCATTATATATCTGATTTACAAAATAATAGTATTAAGAAGAGAGTTAGCAATTAGTTATCATTAATATTTATGAACTTTATATTGTATTCCAGGGATGTTGAAATTGGTGATGTAGTCACCATTGGAGAATGCAGACCTCTGAGCAAGACAGTAAGATTTAATGTATTGAAGGTTTCGAAAGGAACAGGATCAAAGAAAAGCTTCAAGAAGTTCTAAACATCTAGCTTTCCAGCAATGGTAACATTCGTTTACTAGTACTTTTTATCACTATTATTTTGCTAATATAATTACATTAAAATTGAACTCAAATGATGATAAAGATTACGACGGTCTTCTGAAGATATACTGAAGAATGTATATTTTCTCACTGAATATTTTTGCATTCAAATTTTTAATGTAAAATTTATAAACATGTCTTATGTATATTGTTGTTTTAATTATTACAGAATACATTTTGGCAGATTTCAAGAATGAGGTAAGGAAAAGATTGCAAAACTTTACAACCAAACGTATTTATACGACCCTGTATTGTGATTCTCATATTCGAAATCTGGCAAAATAACAAAAATAAAATTTCTATAAAAATATTGGAATCATGTGTGATTTAATTGTTTTAATAATACGTAATTCCATATTTCTAGGCATAATTTAGTTCAAAATGTATCTGTATGTTTTATATATTTTTCATATATCATTCTCTCGATATATATTATGCTGATTAGATATTTTCTTAAAAGTAATTTGCATGCTTGATGAATATTGTACCACATAAATTGAATTATTGAAAAACCCAATAATCAAAAGAAATAATTTTTCTAATTACTATACACTATACATATGTCGCAAACAATAAAATTAATAATCATTAAATAACATTACTCAATTTTTAAAAATATATTTCAGCAATTTTCAACAAGTATTTAATACATAAAAATAATTTACATATAGTTTAGTAATTATTATTGTAAATTGTAAAAATGTTTAATTTTTAGAGAGAAGATTAACATGTCACATTTGTGTTAAGATAGAAATGATAGAGATTTAATCTTATAGTTTGATACATAACAAATATATTTCATGTAATTATATAGTACATAACTATATTAACCGTCATCGGACGTTAGTGCCAATTTGCCTTTTTTTTTTTTGTAACTTTTTTTCCCTGTAATTAACTTTATCTTTGGCTCCTGGCTCTGTTAAAAATGGATATTTTCAAAGTAATGGATAGTTAGTGCTAGCGTTTGAAAAGGCTGTATAAGTTTATTCAAAGTCAAATTGACCCTAACATCGGATTTGAATTTTGAAATAAACGTCCGATGAAGTTTAATATGTATTACTCAATTAATCTGTAATATTAAAATTTTTTTATATTTTCAATCATAAAAGTATATATGTGACAAATTTATTTTGTAGTATTTATATCAACTAGAGTTCAAGTTCTAAAGGCACCAACGTTTCTTTAGATATTTATCCTATATTTTTGAATATTTTCTATTGTTTTGAATATTTTATACTGTTTTCCATTAATAGTATCCAGTCGTATTTTTATTAAATCAGTTTTGTTAAAAATTTATCACAATTACATTTGGTATAGCATAACAATAATAACTTTTCTAGATGAAAAGTATATAGATAATATTATTCTAATGTATTTTACTTCAAAAATATTATATTAGAATTTATTATCAATTTAATAATAATTATAGCTTTAAAATAAAAAGATCTCACTCAATACAAACAGTTCTGAGACTTCGAACTATTATTATTACGATATAAAAATAGGATAAGAAAATATAATCTTGATATAAAGATAAGTATAACTACAAATTTGTAGCTCCAGTTACTAGTAAAACGTTTTTTTTTTTTTTTTAGATTTATGTAATACATATAACATGAATAAGAAGATAATTATACATTTATGAGATAATTAGAAAATCGTGTAAAAAATCAGTTTCTTATTTAACTTATGTTATAGAAATTATATATATCTATATGCAAAATATATATTCTTATCCTATGACTTTCTATTCTAATATATATGTATCTTCACACGAAATATCAATTACTTACAGTTACATTCGTTTTAACTGAGTATTCCGCTATATAAAGTATATATATGATAGGTCCTGCAAAACTTAATAGTAATGAGAACACAAGCAGTTGCGTCCAGGACAACCCCCAATTATCGCCGGAACATTTAAACATATCTGTCTCACAGGTTTCAGCTACCTCTGTATTTTCGGTATCGCCAAGTAACGCATCATGCTCGCTGCATGGAATCTCAGGGATATTGGCACTGTTGTAGGACGATAAAGGTTCGCATACCGAATTTAATATGATGGTATTAATCTCTGCGTTCGAGGATTCTGTGCTCGTCGACGCGCCCAGGTCTATCAACTGCTCTTCCACTCTTGCCGGTACTTCCTCTTGACATTGCTCAGACGTGGTGGTGGCATTATTGCTTTGACTTTCAGGCGACGCCTCAGTTAAAATAGAGAATGGTTGCACGGGAACCTTAATATAAGGCTTAGCATATATTTCATTCTCTTTGTCGATTTTATTAATTCGTTTCAATTCAGATATCTAAAATTGTGCGATGCAAATTATGAATAAAAGAAAGCATAAAGATATGAATGCATATCTTTATGCCACATGTGTGTCACATTTTTCTACTCACTGTACATCTGTATCGAAGAGCCAATGCTTGCAGAGTATCCTCAGGTTTTATTTGCACGTTGATCACCTGAATTTTACGCAACGATGTAGGTCGTTTGATAGCCCGTAAAGAGATATTATCCTCATCTGTGCTACTTTCGTCGTCCGAGTGTAAAAATACATAATGCGGAGAACTTTCTCTTCCACGCAGATGAATCGTCTGCCTAAGTTCAATTTTATTTATTAAAAAGGATTATTTTTTTATATCATACTTGATACAATAAAATGCTTATGAACTTTTTACAGAAGACAAACTTTTTTTATAAGGACTATTGATTGCAATTAATTAAATTTGCAAATTTATTGTACATGTAATTACTTGCTCATAATCTTATGTTGCAAGAAGATTATATAAATATTATAAGTAATGGTGAGCCAAAATTGTAATCGGATGGATAACCTCGAAAATTACCTAACAGTTTTCTGTTCCTCGAACATCGAATTCACCAATTTCTGCGGCATAATGCGATCATGCTTAGAATAATTTCACTCTTCCAACGAGAATGTTCGTTCGCATACGCATGTGAATATTCAGGAAGTATGCTGTTAGAGTTGACAGATGGACGTGTATTTACGAAGCATAGAGCAAAAGTCAGGAGTCGAGTTAGGTTAGGTTAGATCAGGCATCTTGCGGGAGATATGAGCGGACGCACGGCGCATTTTCGGCAACCGTGTAAATCGAGTCCGTCAAGATGATGCAATTTGAGGAAGAAGGCGAAACGTTGAAAGACAAATCTCGGTGCGCGAACATTCGCGCCGATCTCAAAATATGTCTACTCGAAAGCGATTGTTGTAAAATCGTAAGTAAACGCGACACCGCTATAACCTATAATGCTGCCGTAACCTAGCGGCGTACTTTCTTGCATTCATTACATGTACGTGCTTCGTGAAAAATAATATGTCTTATAAATCATATATCTCCTCATTCTTTTTTACATTTTTCGTGTGAATGTCGATACTATATCAAGACAGATTTGATCATATCCAGAGCTTCCAATCCCAGTCTCCAAACCAACCTGGCCTTGTAATATAAGAAGATTGTATAAAAGCACATTTTTCTCTCTTTTCTTTGTTTAAAAAACCATTTTATATTTTACAGTTCAAGCGTACTCCCAGAGAATGCCTTAGGTCACATGATGGTACAGTTCCCGATGAATGCTTTGCCTTGCGCAACACATTCTTTGAGTGTAAGCATTCTATAGTAAGTATAAATGGATTTGCGTATCAAATTCTAAATATTAGGAAGAGAAGATACACACCCCTTTTCTCCGGAGAAGTCATAGCACATATATATTAATATAGTTTATTTTCTTTTCTTTATTCTCTCACAGATTGACGGTAGACGACGGTTTAGAGGCCCAAAAGGATATTAAACGTCGAAATAAATACTTTGTGTGATATATAATTACAATATAATTACATAATTTATGTATCCATAGAAAATTTTATCCTTTTTCTATCAGAGGCTTTGTGAGGATCTGTGTATATAACAAAGAGGAATTTATGGAAGAGGAAGATGTAAATGTATTTTATTGATAAGGTAAATAAATCCATTTAATGTTAGAAGTAATTTATTGTTATTCGTTGTACACGATTTAATAAATCTATTATACTTGCGAAGTAACAACGTATCATACAAATTCATCACATTTACTTGTACATATCCTGGTTCAATATCCAAAGAAATTCTTATTCTCTTGTGAAATGATCTGCTGCAGGTTTAACTGGAGAAATATGATGCTTTGTACGATTGTTACTTTAAAGAGGTATAATCCTCTATGTAGAGCAAAGGTTTTTTTATAGGCAAAGGTTTCTTTTCTCGAGGAACAAAAGCGATCGTATATTAACCCTTTTAGTACTCTCTTTCAGTACCACAAATCAAACATAAATTTTTATTAATTTTATAAATATTCCGTATTAATTTTCTTTCAGTTTTGTGATGGAAAACAGTAAAACTGCATATATAATTAATAAAAAATGGCAGAAAAAGAAAAGTATTTTTATGATTAAATAAATTTAAATCTCTTGTATTTAATTTGTTACTGAAAGGGTTGATGTAGTGTCCAGTCTTCTTTAAAATAATATCACATTGAAATTTCCCTATACATATGCAAAATTCCATGTATAATCAAAATATATTTCAGTACAGCTGTATAATGAGAGAAAAAAGAATGCAATAGCTAAATATTTTATTGACACATTTTAATTATAATCACTGTTTACCTTTCTGATGTTGTACATATCATAGACTGGACAATATTGGCTAATTGTGGCATTTATCATATTTTATATTTAAATACAGTATTGCGCTTGTTTGTCGCGCTGAATCGCACACACAGATGCGTGTATCGAACATGATACGCGTATGATCACAGTAAAATTGCGAAATTTTCTAAGTTTCTTCTTTTCTTTGTTATTAAATTAAGAGCATTTTGTTCCACTTTGTGTTCAGCGAGTATACAATTCGGGCGTATGATAAGGTACGCCGTTACGTATAGGTATATTTGATATTTTATTACAAATCTACCGATGACGATCACGCCTGCGTAATCGTCCTATCTATTGTCTGTATGCAACAAGCGTATATTGGCTATACAATTTTTTTTTGTACTACAATGCCAACTCACGCTACTCTTTCACTCTCTAAAATGGTTATAGGCACCTAAAAATGGGACTTGCAAGCTTTTCCCGCGCATGCCGTTCTATTCTCATCTCTCTCCCATATATATGGAAAGAATTTTTAGATTATATGTGAATAAAACTCAAATTTATGAATTTATTACGTTAAATAGAGTTATGAATTCAAATAAATTATGATTACATGTATTTCTAGCTAACACTCTTGTAAAAAAAAATAATGAAGATACCAAGAAAACGATTATTAAGTTATATAAAATATAAATAGTAAATATACTTGCATATATTTTATACTTTATTTGTCTATTTTTTCAGAGACGATAAAATTACCATTTGCGAAATAAGATTTATAACAAATTGTTTTGTTTTAGGAAATGGAAAAAGAGCGGGAGAGAGCGAGTATAATATATAGTTGGAAATAAAATATATTCTGTTGAAATTTCTAGGTATGTAATTTATCCACGATCGAATTTCGCGAGCATAAAATCCGTGTAAATACGGATATATAATATCAAATCTGAAGATAATCGATAAAAGACTGGAAGTTACGCGAAAGGATTCTACCACGTTGGCCTTCGAAGTTCCACTACCTTGTGCCTAAGTCACCTAAATTGATTTCGAGAGTAGCATTTTTTTCAAGAATAGAGGTTTCAAGAGGAGTTTCCCATTGTGATATATACGCCGCTGGTTCAAATATCACAGTTTATCGAGTATGATATGTAATTAGCGATTATTCGATAGTTATCAATAGTAATAAAAGTATGTTTTGCGTATATCGTTATGCTTGTGTATATTGCGATGCCCATAGGATAACCAAACATCTCTAATCAGCAACACATATCTCTTCCATGTCGGCGCATGGAATGTTCCCATATATTCCCATCTCCCAGGAAATTAAATATCGAGGATCCTTACCGCTTCCATCTGTACGAGATGGATTGAACACCCGTTTTATATTATTTTATATTATGTATATGTTACATAGTACTTTTTGTAGCCTATCAATTTTTATTGCTATTCGTTCTGTATACATTTCAGTTCCGTTTCGTTCGGTGACCCTATTTAGGCAATGCTCGCTTGCGTAATGAACGAGATAGTAAAGTCGAAAAATACAAATAGGTCCAGTTGCATATCTAATCGAGCATGCAAGCCGTTTCGTCGATCATCGACGAGACTCGTCTAAAGCGTATACGAAGTTGCGCCCCTTATAATAGGTAGATAAGAAATCACAGTGCCTCGTTCGTTAACGGCGTTTGCGACGATATATTCTTCGGTTCCTGCAAATCAGTATCGCATTTTGTCTCCCATTATGGCATTAGTTATGTTCCTGCAATCGAAATAAATCTTGATTAAAAATAGAAATGTTGATTGATATTTAGTGATGTTTAGTATCGGTGTCGGTATATAAAGCTACAAATAGAATCGTGGCAGTAAAGCATTGAAATTTGATATACCGTTTCGCTCGGATTTTTCTGCAGAGTTATACGTAATGCAATTCGAAAGGATGCTCCCCGCAGACTCTACCAGCCGGGTGAGGAATCAGAAGCACACGGAGGGTCTGTAAAGCCCGATGTATCCGCATAGGCGTGCACGAAGTGCCGGTAGAAGTATTGCTGCAGCGGATAGATTGTCTTGCAGCTGCGAGCATTCGCAGATCAACAGATACATTTTATCGCCCTGCGACATCGATTTGTGCAAGGTAATACGTCTGAGGCCCACCGATTTCGGCAGGTATCGATACATCATTCGCGCACCTGCAATACGTACGACAAAAGCTATACATACATATGATAACCTTTGATATATTATCACAGAATAAAACAACAAATAATTGCTTTTATGCGTACAATTATTCATATTTATATATAATATTCGTATATATAAATCGATAGAAAATACAGAATATCTTGATAATGATCTTATAAAATATTAATTTTTAATAGAATGTTTTTTATATTAATAAATTATTTATTTATTGTCTCGATATTTTAATAGCAGATTCTTCAGATTAATTAAATTCAATTTTTTAGTCTCGAGAAAAATAAAATGTGTAATTTTAATAAATCAAGATTATTTATTATTGAGATTAAAACACTACACTTTGCGATGTTTTAATCACATTTTCGTATTAAAATTATAATTATTAATTTATTAAATTCTCTCTCTTTCTATTTCTCTTTTATACAAACATTATATATTAAATCAGGTAAAGAAGAAAATAATGATAAATTTATACAAATATTTTTTCGGTCAAAACGGAGGGAAATTTTACTTTTTAGATGAGCATTATTAGATATGTTAATAACTCTTTTGAAATGAAATAATGAATCAACCCCTTTCTTCTTTGTTAAAAACAGAATTACATAATTATATATATATTTTTTATATAATTATATACATGTTTATATAATTATATATATTTTTTAATAACATACATATATTAGCGACGCTAATAAGTTTACGAAGCGAAATGTGCGATAATAATCCACCCGAAATCAGTTTTCAAATGTATAACGACTCGGCGCGGCGCGGCGTGACGTATGTGTTTACCGGTTACCCAGCGAGCGTCGCGCGGGCGCGGGCGGCGCGGGGCGCGCGGTCGCGTTGTTACCATTCGCGCGGCGAAGCTCGAGCGGGACAGGCATAGGCTGCGTTCGGGGAACGCGCTATTAGCGCTATTTGCTTATTCTATCCTTGTTTTATACCTGATGAGCGATAAAGATAGAATGATGTAATAGCGCTAATAGCGCGCTCCCCGAACGTAGCCATAGCGGTGCGTAGGTGTCCGTGCGTCGCGACCGTCGCGTTATTACTTTTCGGGACTCGATCACGGCAAGTAGCAAGAGACACGAGACACTGTTCATTCGATCTACAAAAGATCAGTGATTGCATGCCCGCACGATCGATCAATTACCGTAATTAACGACTCGTAAATCATCGGAGGCGGCGGTAGTTCGTTGAGGTAGATAACCGGCGCAATTAATTTACTCGAAAGAGAGATTCAAAGTCGTAGATAACGGGAAATACAAATGGCTATTTCGTCACGATGCTCACGGGCGATAATTATTTCATTGGCGGCGCTTGGATTCGAGATTTTATATCCGCGTTCGCGTCGTACGTCGTACTTTCAGGTTTCGATGTAGACGTGACTTGTGCGATTCAAATGCGCGGAGTAATACACGGCCCGCCGAAACGGCGCGGCGGCGCTCGAGTAACTCGGAAAATTGCGATATATCCGTGATACGATCGTTTATTCAATAATATGTATATCTCGTGGGAAATACGCGTTTGAGAAATATCGCGCGTGCAATATTGGGATCCGTTTGCGTATTTTCAGACGATTTATCGCAACTTATTTAATCGTTCAGTGCGATTCATATATTTCGTTTCGCGCGTAAAGTTGGCAGCCATTTTGACGATGATCCTCGTTAACGTGACTTCGCGAACGGACTCCGAGCTCCGAGTCGAGCAGCGTCGCAGCGCGTTTAATTTAGTAATTAACGTTATAACGAGCCACGTAATTCGATATTCGTCAAATGGACAGCGTAAATTCGACGTTCGTACAAAAGATGAATAGTGAAGACGCATATCTGGAGAGAGTTATTCGATCGAAATCTATCGCTCGGGCAGTTATGGGTTATGGGCAAATCGCAGGTACGCATCTTTCGTACGCATAATGGTACTTTTCTCGTGTTATTTTTTCCGTCGCTATATGATAAAATACATAATCGTGTACAGAAATATAATAAAGTGCGTGCGTGCGTGCGAATAATGTCGCGATTAGGAAGTGCCGTACAAAGTGCCGCACGATTGCTGCATTCTAATGACTCTTACGCGCGTGATAATTAATTAGCGTATTTTCGTGAGGCAGGTGTTTCGTGAGTGCAACAACGAGGAACGAGAGGAACGAGGAAACGAGAGGAGGAGGAGGAGGCCAGGGAGGCATCGGGCGACAGCGGAGCAACCATGAGGTGAGCATCTCCTAATTTATTTTATATATTTATTATATTTAGTAGGATTAATTGTTGCATAGTACTGTTCTATATTATTATTGCATAATGTGTGTAACATATTTAATTTTGGGAATAGTCAAAACATTGAATAGAATATTTGTAAAATATTTGTTTAATAATTGATGAAGACATACGTGAAATATTTCGACACGTTTAAAATTTATAACTGTTTGGATTAGATAAAAATTAAATTTTTATTATTAAAATTTTATTTATAAAATATATGTAATATAACATGTATAAAATTTTATAAAAGTTAATATTTAACAGAGCGTTTATCGAAAATTATGTATTATGTATTATTAATTACGTTGCAAAATACTTTAATTTAGATATATTTGTATTTTACAGATTCGCGTCTTGCATACTACAACTCCGCTGCTGCGCATCATACCGGTGAGTTTTAAATTATTTTTATTTTAATCTTGAGGTAATAGATTTGTAAATATATTGTATATACGTATAACAGGTTTTTTTTCGATAGTTATTAGTATGCAAAAGGATCATATCAAATTATAAAACAAATAATTTAAATTGAACAAGTAGCAGCAATTAAATATTCTAGTATTTATATCCTCTTTATTTATTATTGTAAACTGCTTCTAATATCTAAATTTTATGATTATTTCTGGTTGTATTACAACTGTTAAAAAAAAAATAAAATATAAATTAAGAATATAAAACTATTATATAGATAGATATAATGTTTTATAAATCTGTTACCTTAATGGATGAGCTAGGATACATTATTATAAATATGTAACTCTGGAATATATAAAGTATAAATTCGATTTATTGAATTCTCTGTATAATTGCCAAATATATACGATTTTCGAGAGATTAAGAACACCATGAAAATATAATACATTAATAATTTTATTTAGCTAATATAGTGTTTCAGATATATTATAATAAAATTATTTTTTGAATTTAACACTGAGGTAATTAATGAAAAATTATAAAAAAGAAAAGGACGTAAAAAAAGAACTCTTTTTAATAGATAAAATATTAACATTTTAAAAACATGAAACTTTTATTTGAATTTCTTCATGGTGTTCGTGACAGCATGATTCACGATAATAACGAAGACTGGAACAAGATATTTCTGTATTTATATAAAATAAGAAGAAATTGATATTTTTATCAAACATGATGAGAATTAATTGTATAATATATATGTGCTTTATTTTCCATTCTTTCCTCTTTTTTTATTTTCTCTTTTTTAATAAAATTTGAAGTCTGGTTCTTTACATCCTTTACATTTTCTTCCAGAGTTATATATTATCTAAATTGGTGCATACACACATAAAAAAAAAACAATATATATTCAAAGATTTTCTCAATATATCAAAATAAAAAATCACGAAATATTTATACTGGCATATAATGCATTCTAATTTCTATATTTAATAAATTTTATTTGGTAAAAGACTTAATAAAGAACGCGCTAATTTTATTTACTTTTACAACGCGCCAATTTAATCTAATTCTAGCTCTTTCATTTATATTTTTCAATAATTTTATATCTTTTAAAACAAAGTGATATAAAAAAAGCGAAAGAGAAAGTTTCTTTATATGAAATGTATATAATATTTATTTATGTATTGTATAACTTGCTTCGCGAAAGTATTTTGAAAATAAATTCAAATACTGGTCTGCGCGCTATTCCATAACAAAATAAAACGAAAAATGTTATTATATAGATTTTTAACAATAAGATCTCAAACGCTTACCTGTCCAAAAGAGCCAGTTTTGTTCGAATTTAAGACCGTCGTCGCCCTCGAAAACTTTAAAAATCGACACTATGTAGCCGGTGGACGGAATAGGCGGTCTTCCACCGGGTGGTTCGAGCGGCGGTCTCGCGATGGTCGCTACCTCGTTGAACAGATCTAACGTGTGACTGGCCGCGTATCTGAGATCTCGGGGATCGAACTTACGTAGGGCCGCGCATTGCACTTCGTTGTAAAAATCTACGGGGTCCGTGTTCTGCTTGTTTATCAGATAATACGTGATGAATGGGAAATCCGCTGAAACACACAGAAATTCAACTAAACGATCTTAAAAATACTCATTGTTGTTACCTCGCCGTCTCTGCACGACGGATACTTTGATTTTACGTACTGTTCCTCTCCATATTCGTAAGTAAAATGCTTTGCGACGCGGAGGGTGCTATCTCGGCGACTAGTTCCGCGGCGGTGTCGCGTTGTAGGACCAACGGACGAGACACTGGAGACTCCATTAGCGGGTCCAGAGGCTCCAGTGGCGTCATGAAATGCGCGAGAATACATTGCTTCGGGTCCTCGACCTCGAGAACCGACAGAGGACTTCCCGGTCTCTTTTTATCAGCGACAGGAGCGTGCTTCGAATAAACGAGAAATTAAATTACAATAAAAGCAAAATTAATAAAGTACGTAGATTATACGTCATAATTATTATTCGGAGATCGAGCGAATAAATTTTGTAATAATCCCTTTGTACAATCGTTAAATCATATATACCATAATTACTATTTTATTAAATAACATCAGCATTTCTTATAGAATCGTGACGTTTTATTACGGTTCTCTAATTATAGACACATTTTATCTATTCTTAGATGTTCGTGGAAGGTCACAGCTCTAAAGCCAATTGCTTGACTATTCTAATTTCTAATTTCGACAAATGCTATACTTTCTCATAATCATTGATTACACATTTATCGATGTGTCAAAAGTTTGAATAATATTTCATTAATATCTTCCAATATAATTTGATCACTAATAAGCGAGCAGTCCGTAAAATTTATCGTATATATACCACATAAAAAAACTGCTTAAGAAAGGAATAATCGTTTAATTCCTTTGATTTATGTCTGCAATTTCTTGTGATATTTAAAATCAATTTACTCTTAATGAAAAACTTCAAGAGACATTATTTTTACCATGATTTTTCAATAATTCATAATTCGAACATTATTAACAATATTTTGATACTTTAATTAGTAAAAATAAAATTCAAAATTAAGCGACCCAACTGGCCAGTTCCCATTTATTCTGACTCACAACGTTTCGACCACAATTTGGTCCTTCTCAAGTGAGATATTATATTTATAATTAAATACGCAACAATACATCATGCGTCGCCAGACGTTGTGTCCAAGCTACATCGTGCGAACGCCACGATGTTAGATGCGTTAAAAGAATAAAATTGTAAAATTGTGAGAGTCGCAAGTGTATAATCTGTGCCATATTCAAAGTCGCAATGACTCATTGTGACTTCGACACTTTGAATATGGCACGGTACGGATCTAGTAGAGAAAATGGGCAGTTTAATTTTCTTCACAGTTTACACTTGGGACTCTTACAATTTTACAATTTTATTCTTTTGACGCATCTAACATCGTGGCGTTCGCACGATGTAGGTAGCTTGGACACAACGTCTGGAGACGCAGGATGTATTGTTGCGTATTTAATTATAAGTATAATATCTCACTTGAGAAGGACTAAATTGTGGTTGAAACGTTGTGAGTCAGAATAAATGGGAACTAGCCAGTGTGTTGGGTCGCTTAATTTTGAATTTTATTTTTATCTACGTACTGGCGAATTTATTTATTTATTCCATTGTTTTTAATTCGTAAATTTTGATATCAAATTTCACAAAGAACAATGTGTCTACTTTCCATTAATTCTACAGTATTTCTGAAATATTTCCTTTTTTAAGAAACACGTATATATTTCGTGTTGAACAAAACCAAGGTAAATTTTTTATTAACTCACTGGTACACCAGCTGGTAAAAAGCGTTCGAGAGACGCGAGAGGTATAATAAAGCAGTCGCGGTCCAAAGTGGCCAAGGAGACTGGTTCGCCTCGTGGCGGGCTGTTTCCGGAAACCACGAGAGGTGTGTAGGTACCGGAACCACGATTTCCGCTGAAGGATACCTGCTAGCGATAACACAATTAAAAAATTAATTAGATATAACTCTACTGTCATCCGCGTTTGAACGTCACATATCGTGAGAGACAGAATCAATTTCACATATCAATTTATACACATTTTATTATCTTGTTATACTGATGGTATTAAGTTCCGAATAGAATGTGCGCAAGGTCGGCACGAACATCGGTAATTAAATGGGCGTATAAAACATTCGACACATGCACGAAATGAAAACTCATGGTCGTTTTATCGATTGTAATCCTAATTCCCTCTCTGTACGTTTATTTCAACGCGTTAAAAACATTTACGCTGTTTATTCCAAAATTAAATTTTTATTAAAGATATCTAAGAATATCTACATTTTACACCTTTATTTCTCATGCGATAATGACATGATTTCGTAAGATTATTTCGATGTGAATAAATTAACGATGTTGCTTCTATAATATCAATTTTTCTTGAGAGAAAGACTTCTTTTCTCTGGTTACGTAAACATATTTGCAAGATACGAAATAAATTATATTTTATACTCTAAATTATATTTTTTAACTGCTTTGTGAAGTTAAAAAATTTCACTTTGCGCTTAAAAGAATCGATGTCGGTTTGTGGGATCGCAGATCACCGTTGGTGGATTAAAGATGAAAATGCTGGGAGACGTCCTAGTGTGTGCAACATGTGCACAGTAGATTCACGCACGTGGACATATCTAGCAAATACGTTTATAGTAGTAATAGTAAAGATGTCAAGGTATAGTACGTGCCCGAATAAAATGGAAATAGGCCGTGGGTATAGAACTATAGAACATGATAGCCGAGACGCGAGACGGTCGCATGTACGCGCTTCGCTTCTGACTCGACTTGTCTTTTACTACTTGCGCCAAAGTGCAGACTGCAGATAGTCATGATTGTAGTTCCGCTCGCGTTTTTTCCACGGAACTATTCCGTTTCACATAAAGTTTCATAGGCGCGATTTCCGGATAACTTTACAGTTCACGTTCGAAGTTCAGTGCAACTTACGGCGCGATTTAAGTTGCATGTCAATTTTGCAAGTGCACCCGGCGTTAACGATTGATCACACCGCTGCGCAATTTTTCATCCTGCGGCCGGCAGACCTCGTCTTTTATAATGTAGAACCGAGTAGAATACGCAGAGAAGATAAATTTTAGAAATATAATAGTTTATCGTTTATTTCTTCTTATATAAAAAATAAACAGAATAAATCACTTTTACTTTGGCAGTCAAATAATAAACAACAATGGAAATATTAATCGACTCTTCTATCAATATTTCCATTGTTAAAAAATAAAACTTTAATTTTTTGATATATATTATGTTCCCTTTAATTAACTTCATTGAACTTATTTTGATCGTACGGTTAAATTTTTGCTATCACAAGAAAATTTTTCGTGTATTCCTACGTACAGAAATGTGCATATTGTTAATTTAATACATTACTGCAACAGTGCATGCATAAGAAATACATGTGTGCGCATCGTTAATATTGTGCGAAAGGCACATATGCGGCGAAAAACTTCCACGATCGATAACAATTTGCATGCTGTTTGTGTAAAAATAGTACGTCGCATAACGTTGTGGTAACTACAAGACTTCTACTTGCATTGCGTTTGTACGCACGGCACGCAGCGACGTCTGTCTTAACACATAACTTTACTTTGATGATGATACTAACCCAGATAGCACAGCTGATCTTTATGAATTCAAAAAGATCTGAATCTGATCTTTATGAATTCATAAAGATCAACTGTGCTATCTGGGAACGTAACAACCGAATAGAGTTTAATCATCCCTAGTTACAAACAAGCTGTCAACTCATGTATGCATTCTATTGCGGTTTACTGTATAATACTTTTACCCTAAACAGCTGTTAAACTCCGAATGTCTCATATCATATATCGTCGCGTATGTATAGTATATTATTAAACTTTCGAATAGCGACTGTTTCACAATAACGATTCCATCGGGAAATGTTTACTGCATTTCTTTCAATTCTCGACATGCTAAAGGTGCATACAGGTTCTACAGGTGCATATAAACAACATATAGTATAATGTTTGATATAATCAGACTTATGCAAATTTACCAATTATCAAGGGTATGCGTTATCGAAAGTATTTAACTTTCCAGAAATATTTTTTCCGAAGATAATATATTCCTTAAGCTACATATATAATTTAGTTCGTTAATTGTAAATTAAATTTATATTGTGACAGTCTAAATGAAATTTTATAGTCTTCCTGATTGCACTTCGCAATTTTATTATTAATTAAAATATTCATTATAATTAAATTCTCTATTTATTGAATATACTCATAATTTATAAATTTATTTTGTTTTTGTAAAAAAGTCATTTGAAAGCATCTTTCAATTTTTATTTTATATCTGTAAATCTACAATATTAAACTATAAATGTTTGGTTATTAATTTTAAGTAAACGGAAAATATTGAAATAGTTGGCAAATCATGCTTGTTTTTCATTTGTATGTACCTTTAGAATGCTTCTTTTGCTTCACCTTTTTCTTCACATATGTAGTACGCAATTCGCACATGTGCTGAAAATGTTTCCTGCATTGAAACGCATTTCCTGCATTCACCTGCTTGTGAATGCAGAATCAATACATGCTCAATCAATACATAGAAAAGCGTGCCTACATGCGTGTTTTGATATTTAATTACGCTGCATTAGGTATACATGACAGTAGATGTTCACGGTGCGCATCGCAAAGGTCACAGGTCACTGTACATGACACACACTGCGGTCTTCGTTAGACTCAGTGAAAGCTGCAGCAATACTTCAATCGTGAATTTCCGCACCTACATCTCTCGTAGCACGTTTTTCGATCACGCGAGAAGTTTAGCAAGAGATTTATTATTATCAATTCTACGTATTGATGTCGTATTTTTCCAATACTTTTTATTGATATATTTCTAGGTTTAATTGCAATAATTGCAGTGCTGAGATAAATGTAACACAACATTTTTAAATGTTAAAATTAATAATATTTTTTTTTTACAATTTTGTGACAATTATCCGATGAATTATTATTGTTTTTCAATTTCATAATCAACCAGTTGAGAACATCGTTACACGAAACATTGTTATTTGTGTACTTTCCAGTCTGTTATATTAAAAGGGTTAAACACCCGTTAAATTCTCTTGTGAAATTCTATTTGCCGACCAAGCGATGTGATTGTGAGATTCATTGCATCGTAACGCGTCTGTGGCCCGAAAACGTCTTCTCTTGTATATGTAGAATACGATGCACTAAACGTTCACGAAGACATCTTGCGATAGAATGCGATATGGGTGGATTCTGGACAGGTTGATAGTACATAATAGATGCTAATTGTTGAACATTTGCGCCGTGGTGAATTTATGGCATGTCCCCGGATTCGCCACGATGCACAATAAGATAGTGACTTTGCGTGTCGTTTGAGCTCGCGTAGGTGCTACTTTATGTTTCCTCTTCTATAAACAGCTCCTCATTTCCTCCGTAACTTTGCTTTATTGCAAAATTTTTCGCTATCCGATGGCCCAATTTAAAGAATGGCGATATAACACTTGGTTCAATAACAACGACAATGGAAAACAATTAGTCTGTCAAGAAGCTCGAGATTTATTACAGTAATATCCGGTTATTATTCTATAACAGAGAACGTGTATTACTTAAGCTTATAATTAATTAATGCATCTACAAGTCACAAAATTATTTGCATGCCTATAATATTCATGAAAAAATAACTTCTTTTAATCTATTCAGAAAGCGATATATGAGTTGCAATATAAATCGGACGTTATTGAATATAGAATAATTGCTATAAATTAAACGGTAAATCCTGTTTGCGTGAGTAATATTAAAGTGTTTTACCCTTATATAGATATAGTTTGAGAGTTTATTTCTTTACTGGTTATAACCAACGAATTATAACGATCAAACGAATAATCGCGGCAAACTCATTTGCAACATTTATTTCGGTCGGATAATTTTAACGTCGCGAAGAGCAATACAAAGATCGTAGATTAATTTAGTTTCCACAGTTTTGATCGTTTTTGAAGGAAATGACTATAATTAGGGTTAAGTACTGGTTTATACAATGTTACTACAACAATTTTCCGCGCGTGACTCACTCATTACGAGATTAATGTGCTTGATAGTTTATTGGCGTGCCATTTTACATTGTACGCCGTAACCGTAGATTTATTATTATGTAACAAGTTTTTCGCTAGATTAACAGATAGATAAATTAAGATACCCTTCTCTCTTTTTTCTTTTGGAATGTTTTGTATATCTTACCATAGAAATAGCAAAAATAAATATTCAGAAGTAATACGCATTTAAATAAAGGGGGCTTCAGACGATATTAAATTAAGAAATATTATTAAAAACGTTGTTGAGCGTTAAAAAAAATTCGAGTTTTCCTGATCTTTTCGAGTTTTGTTGCGGATTTTAATTGTACTCACCTGCCTGGATGCAGTCGGGGTTGGTGGGTCGGAAGGTTCCTTCTGCTGACCGATTTGATTTTGCTTCTTCCTAACCTGATTGCCGGTCTGGCCGCTTTGCGTGGGCCCGCCGCCGCCCCATTTAATCACATGGGAGCCTGAGTTGCGACGCGGCGGTGGGCCCAGTCGCTCGCCCGACTCCTCGGGCGGCGAGCCGAGCGTTCCACCTGCGGGTGGCGACAGGAACAAGTGAGTACGAAAACCGTGTCCCTGGTGCTCGTGATCGCCCATCGATGGAAAGTATCCGAATTCCCGGCTGCGTCGTACGGGTCCACGCACGCCGCTGACCACTGACTGACCGCCGCGCGTCGCGCCGAAACGCGTCCCTATCTGGCCGAACGAGGCCCCGCTGGTCCCGTAAATGGTGGTGCTTAGGGCGGGCCGGACTTCCCCTAGTCCTCCTCCACTTGTTAGTCCGCCACCACCGAATCCCTTCTCCCCGAAGTTCTTGCGGAACATAAGATTCATGACTGACTTCTTGGTTCGCTGTCGGCGTATTTCTCGTGGTGTGTATGTGTATTTTTGTTTCGGCTTTACTTTTACTCGACCATTCAATACGCTTGGTCGATTTGACGGGTGCTCGAGGATGCGCGTGGAAGAGAGGCAGTGGTGGTGGTGGCGGTGCGCGACGATCACAAAGGGATACGAGGGTATTTAATGTTTTTTTTTTTAGCCCTTTCCTAAATCTCGTTAAACGATTTCATGTTAGACTTTGCGGTTTCTTCGACAAGAGCTTTCTCTTTTCCTTTTTTTTCGCACGATTCCGGACACGTCGATACTCTCGTTTAACTCATGGCGAAATGTACTACGAGTATAACGATCTTGACACGTTACAAATGCCAACTTGGGCATATGATGTCGCGTTCGAGCACAGAAGAAACCGACGTGGTGGAATGTCGGACGACATTGGGGTCGGGGTTTTAAACCGCTCGTGCGATGGCACTGACAGTGAACCCCGGCAACGAATGGTCGGTGCACTTAACTTTTACCGACTTCCTGCTGCCGTGTAGTTCTAAAGCACTCACGTAGCTGATCTAGGTCGAACAAGAAGAATGGTAACGATACTTCTATCGCGCGCGGTCTTTTGGTCGAACTTCTCAGAGGATAATCAACATCTGACCTCAAAATACTAAGAATAAGTAAGATCTACGCATAACATGTGGACATATGTTAAAATTTATTTCAATATACGTTATACGATAACGTTTTTAATTATTATTTAAATAATAAATTTGAGTGTTTCAACGTTTTACTAAATACTTCTGCTAAATTGTGATAATATCAGCATTACGGTAAAAATAATATTGCGCAGCAGACTGTATCGATAAATTTTTATATTAGGAATTTTAATATTTAAAAACAGCATACGCAATTATTATTGCGTGGCTTAAATAACTGAAAATAATGTTTTAGAAAGGAAGGCACTTTGTTTTTTATTTTTAATTTGGCTTGAAGTTTAAAAAGAATACTAGGAAGGAAATTGAAAGAAGAAAAATAAAAAATAAGACATTGCATTGAAAAAAATGATTAAAGAATGAGAAAATAAGAAGGAAGATTATGCATATGCATACAAAATAAAAAATTAATTAAAAAAGAAAAATGAAAGCAAAATGTTGGAATAAAGAAGATCAAACAAGTAGAATGAGTCAAGGAAAATTGTTGAAGAAGAAGAATTTGAAAGATGGAAAATGGAAAAGAACTTGTACAAGGAAGTTTAATTAAGAAAGAAGAAAAATGGAAAAAGAAAGGATACCGAAGCATGAAATATGAAATATATACTAATTTAAGGCATGTATGAAATCTTTTAGTTTAAAATTTGCGTTTTGAAAATTGCTTCTTCTCTCAGGGGCTCACATATGTGAATACGGGATTTGACCTTCCCCAGGTACCCGAGCTACTCAATGCCTGCAGTACAACCAGGCCATCTTAAATTCACTTTGAAAAGAAGGTTTACTCATGCGTATATCTTTCACAACTTGATAGACTTGATAAAATCATAATGGAAAGTCCATTAATTAAACCGAAATCATCGAAAGAAACCAACGATAATTTTAACATGCAAGGCAGTCGCGCACACTTAAATTTTTTTTATATCCTTCCAGTTCGATACATTCCAAATAGCGATATCAAGCTCGTATTATCACTTTCTTGCGATTATTAGGTCCATTCACTTGATAATATTATTTTTAATGTTTAACAGCATTAGATATATTTTTTTGCTTGCATTAAAAATAATTCACTGCACCATTTAATATTTAACAGTCCATACATTTTACACTTAAACTTATTTTATTTTAAAATTGTTAAATGTGCTTGACGATTTTCACTTTTTCATTTTGAATTAAATTTGCAAAGATAAGAAGTTTAAGTTGACCGCAAAAAGTTAACGCACAACGTCGGGTTAAAAGTGGCACGAGTAAAACGCGCGCGTCAACTAACGTTTGCCTCTTCGTGGGAGAACTGTCTCGTCGTAGGGAATGCACGAGCTTTAATAGCCGCAGTCTTTCGATTGATTTAAAGTAGACTGCTTTGTCACGGTAGCGGCACAGATATATGTATATGTATAGGTGCATGAAAACAAGAGATCGGCTTCGATTCAGTCTAATACTCGGTATTTTATTTGATAATGACAAAAGTAAGGGGGTTGCAATTTACATTGACTCGTAGTTCTTGAATATTTTTAGAACAAATTGGCTGCACTGCCAACAAGATTTCCTACAATCGTCTGATGAATAAAATCTCATCACCTGAAAATACCAACTGTTATTCTCAAACTAATATTAACGATGCGTTATCCTTAACAGTAAACTAAGAATTGTTATATTTTAATGGAAATAATTTTTCTAACGAATCTTGTGCTGCAACATTATTTTTACAGTACTTTAATTTTAATAGTGTTTTTTTAAAGTTCACAAAAAGTATTTAGTAAAACATTTAATTCAATATTCAAAGTTTGTGGCGTATGTTTCGATCTTCCAGTAACACACATGTGCCTTATCGATCGATTTTACTATTCTAGTATTCTAGGGTCAATTTTTCGGTATCACTTGGAAACGAAATAAAGTTTTTGCAGCTTATAACTTTCCCTTTAAACGCGCGTGCCTGATTGCTATGTACGTCAATTAGTTAACAAGGTAAATGTCTCTTACTATTTCATTTGATCTATAACTAGTAAGAGGTACATGACCGTGAGTTTATATTAGTATTGAACTTAAAGTAAGACTATTCTATTGCTTATATAAAACGTCGCGATAAACGTATACGTCTTAAAAAATGTTAGAACATCTAAATGGGAAAGGTTTTCTAATAAATTTTGCTACAGCATTATTTTTATATTTATTTAATTCTAATAATATGTTAAAACATTTCGAAACATTAAAAATTAGAAACATATAAGACAAAAAAATGAAGCATAAAAAAATTCGAAATTGACATATATTTTTAATTTAATACATTCTAATATGTAAATTGTGCGTGCGATTTATTAATTTTTAGTATTCTAAAATTGAATATACGAGTTGTTGTAAAAGGATCTATATTTCGTTCCTTTAAACGTTTAAAGCAAACAAAAATGCTAAAGCGATAGGTTAATTACCTAAACATTTTAGTTACTAATTACGTACGAGAAAAACAAATCGCGCGAATGCTGCAATGCTGTGGCAATGAACTACTGAAATTTATCTCGCTGGCTTCTACAAAATCCCCTGATCTCGTTCTACTATCGAGTCACGTACTTACTGTGAAGAAAATTCAACGTTTCTTGGTTGTAAACCAAGTGCCGAGATCGAGATTTATCTCTGGATTTTCACTAGAACGCGTATGCTGTATCAAGTACTGTCATAATGTGTGTGTGTGTGGTTGTAAAAATATATATAAAACTATCATAAGTATACTTATAACGTATAAGAATTGTTTTAATCATTATTCATCATAATAATTGTTAATTAAATTTTAACTATTATTACTCGAAATATTAATCACGTTTCAATTACAATTATTCTACTCATCAAATATTTTGAAGCCAAGTTTACTTAAATTAATTCAATTAAATCACTCTTTTATTTCATTCAATATTTTTAAATATTTAACATTAAATCATAAATCGAATTTTTTCTCTTAATTTTCATTATTTTAGTCAACATGTATCTTAGCCTTACCAATTAGTCATTTTAACAACTGCATTTCTAATACAACCCTGTAATTTTGATCGATTATTCTGGTTCCATCATGACTTTTATTTTTTCTATACAATAGTACAAAAATAGGTACGATATTGATTTTTTTACTTCCTCGGAGAACAGAACTTTGCACTTGAAATTCACGAATATTTTTTTATGAAATCTCGATCGTTACATTAACCGATCTTGACTGATCTTGAAAGTCTACGACTATACTGAAAGAAGCAATCGGTCAAACTCCATGCAAATTTCAAAGTTTTACACGAGGGAGACAAGCGAGTAGCTGTCTCCGCGATAATATGTGAGCGTACATGGACAAGGACGAGACGGTCGTCTATCATCGCTGTTGGAATATACCATTACGAGCGAGACAACACCGACATAAAACTCACAGTTGATTAAAAGCCATAATTACACATGGAAAACAATCGGAAGCTCCATGAATATTTTTTATAATATATGAGGACACAATGTTTGACAAACGAATGCACTATTATAGGACGAGAACAAAAGCAGGGAAATGAATAAAAGTAATCGATGGATGATTCATAGTTAATCAAATATTGCAGTAAACGTTCAAACATTAAATCGCCGCGATACGAATGAAAAATATTGATTCGTCGAGCGTAAAAAACTATGAAATTATTATATAAAAAATATACTTTAAGGATATATGTATAATAAATGAGAAGTTATAAATTGTAACAAAAGCGGACGCGTTACTTTAATTTGTTGAACGTTCGATGAACAACGTTTTATCAATTTAAGATAAAAGGGTGATAGAAGGTTATCTTGTGCATAAACTGCATTATACCGCAATTATGAAACACGGCGTTATTGATATAAAAGAGCGAATACTCGGAATGTCTACTTTGCTTCTGTAGATCGATACTATATTGAAATATTCACAAGGAACTTGATTGTGGCGTGAGTGCACAACCGCGCGTCACAAGGATAAAGCATGGAATAATAGAAAATGACGGTTGTTAAAAACTTTTTTCTATTTATGCTTCCAACATTGATGACTGCAGCGTTCGCTCGAAGAGTTTACTCTGTGTCGCACAATTTTACGTACGTAATTCGTTTCGCTGTGTAAAAGCAAATGATATCATTCGTATCGGATATATTCACTGGCATTGAATTTTACGTTTACTTGATTTGTCGGGGACAAGCGAAAAGAAAAACAAAGTCACGATAGGGAGTATAGAAGCATTTATGAAACATGTGTTTCGTGCAGTCGATCGATTTCGTATTGTAATATTCACACTACACGCGATTGACGGCGAAGTTCGGATTCGGGCGTCTCTGCGGTGACGCAAACGAATGGCTTATCGGTCACATCGTGACATTTGAATCGTACTCCTGATTTCGTACTCCTGAGTACCAGTGGAACGTCGCGTAAGCGGATGATATTTTTATGCGAGAGAGCCTTAGTTCGAAAATTTCAAACTTTAAAGCAAAGGTATATTTTTATCTTGCGATTCGACAAGTTAGTACCGTATGCTAATTGCGATCTTGCAATTTTGTTAACGTTCGATTAGTACCGCGCGAAAAATTCAAGGTAACATTGATAACTGAAATAGTGAAATGATAAAGGATGATCGGTATCGCGTGTGTACTCACGGAACACGTGTTCCGCGCGGTAGATCGATAGCACGTTGAAATATTCACACGCGCGACACGGACCCACGCACTCTATCGCGACAGGTGGATTCACGGGGTGACAGGATGACAGCGCGTATAATGGTACACCGATATACATTGCGCGGGATGAAAGAGGAAGGCTTTTTCTACGAGAACACGACGGGAGATTTGAGAGCAGAGCACAGAGACACTCACGACACACACGTGTTTTACACGCGGTAGATCGATACTCTGTATTGAAATATTCACTGTGTAACGCGATGTGTGCCGCGACAGTGATACGTCAAGGTCCCTCCACGAAGGTTATTATCTCGTCCGGACTTGTGCTTGATCCAGACATGCGATGCCGTGCGATGCCAGGTCGATGGCGCAATGCCTGTGCGATGGATCGAGGGTGCGTACAAGGTGCGTTCTGAAGACGTGCACTCGCAACGTTGACTCAGGTGAAAGCGCGATCTTTGCGCGAAGAAGAGATAGAGAGAAAGGACGAGCGAGAAGTGGCAGAACGAGACTCGCTCCGGCGGCGCACTCTTGGTGAACGGCACCCTCGCACTGAAACGTACACGAGGCGTCGCGACGCTCCCCAGGGTCGTGGAAACCGCGGCCCCCCGCGACGCGCCACAACTAGAGACACGTGGGAGTCGCTACGCGATGCCTGCCTAATTCACGATTCGCGAAGTAATTGTTCTCGTGTGCAGTTTCGATATTATCTCTTTGTTGTTGGAGAAGCAACTAAGCTATTGCGCGTCGTCGTGTTTGGCGAGCAGCATTAGCGACGATAACATCTATTTTAGAAGCGCTCTGGCGCAGACAGGAACTTTTAAATGTTCGCGACCAAATTAGAAATGAATTTTTGTCTTAATAATCATATAATACGAAGAGACGCCGTCATATCCACTTTTGAAGGAAATATTATGAACGTGAATGAGGATACTCATTTTTGGCAACTTTTCTGGCTTAAAATTAGAGCTTAGGCTCTCGTAATGATGAAAGAATTTTCAAAAGAAAATTTATATGATATTAATGTTTTTATCGATTTGCGCATCTTTATACGTTTTATTTAAATATTATAATGAACCACTGTACAAACTGTGTAAAAGAAATTTTTTATAATGACTGTAATATCATCTGAGATAAAAGGGAGGGCGAGTATGTGGAGAACAGAATAAAGGACCGTCATGAATCTTCACTAAATTAGACTCCGAAGAACGAAAACGCGATTTTAAATTCACTAACGTGTATAGACGTTTCTTATCACGCTCGTAAAATTACTGATCAGCAGATAATGTCGAGCTCGTAAATATATTTGAATTATTTTTCAAAGATATATCTCTCGCATTTTCTTCTGACCAACTTGAAAGCTTTCGATAAAATTCTGTATTCTTTATCTAGATGATTTTGAATACAAAACATATTTAAAGCTACGTATAATATTGTCAACGCGTTTAATTCATTTTTAACATGTAAATTTCAGAATAAAATAAGGACTGATAATATATGATTAATCCGTTAAAAGTAGATAATGGTGAAAATCTTTATTTAAGTATCAGTCAATTTACAGTATTTGACATCTTATGTGAATAATGACGAATTAAACGTGCGACTATGTGTTTATCTGCTGACTCTTCATATATGAACGCATTGCTTTAAATACCCATATATATAGATTATAGCGCTAATTACAGAAATTTAACATATTGTGATCATCTGCGAAACAACATGATCAGGCTGCTAAAATACTGTGGTTAAAAAGAAATTATCATTATAAATACAAATATCAAATTCTTCTGCATATTACGGAACTCTCTCATTAATGTCACTGTTTCAATTCTATAAAGCCCATGGAGTTGAAATGAACAAAAGTATTCGCAGTATTCGTATAGTAGTGCTCGCGGAATACAAAATAGCTTGCTGTGTACTTTCACAAGACAAGTAAAGGAACTAAGCAAATGCGTGTTGCCTTAACAGAGTATCGCTTTTTACTAGATTGTATAAAAAATAAGGATAATTATGTTATTTGTGACATACTAATTGTAAGTGAGATATTAAATCATATCATTAGATAACTAAAACGGTAATTAAAATGTAATTATTTTATCATTATTATCCAAGTATTACATTACTATTCAAAATTTATTATTATCCAAATATTAAATTATTAATCAAAATTCATTATTATCCAACTATTAAATTATTATCCAAAAATTAAATTAAAATTTCATGATTAAAATGGTATAATTATTATTTAATTATTAAGATGATCAAAAATATTTTGTATAAAAAACAAATATTATGAAGCTGTTCGATAATGATGGTATCTTTTTTGCATTACATTATCGACAAATGTAACATTCGCGAGTAACGAAGTCTGGTCACGGATTTAGCGGCGAAGTTTTCTATTTTTCACCACGAAATTAGTAGTTTTCTGACGTCGTTCGTCGTTCTCTGTCTGCCAAGAATTACATAGTTCGCAACTGACAGACAAGGTATAAACTATTTTCTCTGAAAGATACGTCTTTCACGGGTCAATAGTTACAACGATGCGATGGTACAGTATGCATGTTGAGAGAAAGAAACGAAAGCAGAAAACGGCTGCCGTTGTTGCATTTCGAAGTGTTTTTATACTTCAAGTCACCGCGACTTGGCACGCTTTACCGTCTCAATAAGACGATTCACATTGTCATGTCTAAAAGTACTTCAATTTATCTCTTTCAATTAGAGACATCGTCGTCTGCTTATTGTTTTATTCTATTGTATTATTTTGTTCGGATCTACTTGTGCTTCTACTCAACTCACGCGGTTTGGCACAAGACTTACAGAGAACCGTAGAATACTTTTGTAGGGGCTTTAAATTTTAACAGACATAAATGACTCTTAATTTTTAGGCGATTTGGCGTTTAACTTTTCGGCTTCACGATTACCTCTCACGATCGAACTCTTTCGGGGAGACAAAATCTGCAATGCCGTTATACTCGTTATACTCGTATTTACATTTACCCGCGACACAACTGTGTGTTTATACTTGGCATACGTTTGAAAACTAAAATTGCCGCAAGTATTAATAGCGAGACGGCGATACGTACTGTACTATGAATATACCTCAAGGTGTTTGACGTGACAGACGGCTCGTGGTGGCGCAGATCGCTTCGACGCGACGCTTGGAAACCATCGATTTGAAAGTGTCACAAGGAGAAATCGATCGACCTCGATCAAGGGATTCACTGGAGTATGTCGCGCAATTCTATTTTGACACTTCGATGGTTCGCGAGGTATCTTTCGACACTTTCTTCATGTGCTTTATTTAAACATTTTTCAGAGGTAACGTACTTTATATGAGACATTACCTCTGAAAGCATGGGGTCTTCTATCGTATTTTTACATAGCTCAGAATTTCCCTTTATTCGATACATATCGGGTGATTGCGAAGTAAATTTTAGAAACATATTTTTTAATAATTTCTTTAGATAACTTTTAGTAAAAAATTTGTTAATGAAAACATAATAGAAAAGAATTCACATGTACGATATGCAAATTTGTAAAGAATGTTATATGATTATGAGCATTATACGATCTACAAACACTTGTACAACCTTTGTTGGAGAAAGTCTATGAATGAGAATGTAAATTCGAAATACTGCTGTATGCACGCTCGCTTTCCGGATTACGACATATTCAGAATTGCGAGTACAACATCGATTAAGTTGCAGCTTGCGTGCATTCTGTAACCTTGCATGAAAACCTGGCATCATCCTGTAACTTGTTATATCTGATGGAATAGCTAACATTTTTAGGCAATGCAATAGATATATTTTACTTTATGTAAAGAGCATCTCGTGCTTCCTTATATCGTAATTTTAAAATGCTTAAAAGCTGCTTTAATTAATTACTTCGTGCAAAGGCAATAAAATGGATCGAATCTATTACTTGATTGCGTCTTCTAGACAAAACAATTATTATTTGTATACGAAATAGAGTTATAGTATAAAACTTTTATAATTAGCATTTCTCTTTAACTTTGAACTTAAAAAGATAAAAATAGAAAAGACCCTTATATATTTAGTCTCAATTATTATACTTAAGAAATTATTTTGGCACCAGTAACGAAATTTAAGTATTTTTATCGTTGCGGTGCTTTATCATAATTCACACTTACATTATTTAATTATGAAACCACCTGTGACATATTTGGCACTCTGTCCAATGCGTTTTTGTGTCAATTTGTTGGAGAGATATGTAGATCCATAAATAATTTAGTTTGTTTTTGAGGAGATTTAATTTTATCAAACCTTTCAGTATCACGGAAGGATGTACCATTTTTCATGTATATACGAATGCTATCTCATGTATATACGAATATACCTATATTGAGTACAATGTCGATATGTTTCAAATAGCAAAGTCAAAACAAAAAGCAATATTCTTTAATCAAATACATCTTTTATTTTCGTAGATGCAAATAAGAAACATATATATAAAATGTACAGAACGTATAGCATTAGCCTTTATAAAAAAATTGAAATTTTATTACTTATTAAAAAAGACATTTGTCATATTTTAACAAAATATGTTTTCCTATCATCTATTTTTGCCTTTTTATTTTACAATGCAAATAATTAATAATGTATAAATCATTTTGTAGTAAAACAAACAATAGCAGAACTGTTACAGATCATGAATGATGCGCGCGAAGAATTAGCGCATTATTCACTTAGAAATTATGGAATAGAGATTAAATATAGTCAGTCTATTTAATCCAATGGTTATATTATATAAAATAGCCTTGATTATATTTTGTATCGTCTCGCACGATCTGATTTGCGATTGACCACAAAATTTTACTCTGATCGATGTGAAAGCATTAGGCTAAAAAACATCGCGCGTTTTTTAGTCTAATGCAGATTTTAATTTAAATTCTGTGTCGCGACCTTCAAGCAAATTCGTCACGGCTAATACGCAATGTCGCGCTTTCAATTATATTCTATTTTCGTGTCTAGCTCAAAGGCGTTAATTTATTGGCTCTTGCGTAAAGCAAGCCGAGTAAATTCCTTTATTCTCTAATTTTAACTATCAAATAATTTTTTGCTTTAAAAGTTAATTTTTAGATTTTTCGCATAAATACTCATAATTGATTACGTAATAATATCAATTTTATTTTCTTTTGCTTCGTTAGAAAAAATATATTTTGAGAAATTGTTTAAATATTTTGATTGAATTTTACACAATTATGTTACTAAATGTAACATTTTAACATATAACAATTAAGGAGCAATTGGACGCGGCTAGACTGCAGCGCGATAATTTTGCATAAATACGTAAACCATCATTCTTCAGATCTTGGGGAATATATTGAAAATTTATGCATATAAAGAATATATCTCGGCGGTGAGCCCTGCGACTCTCACCGGTTTTACTGCAGATTTTGATTTTAAATGCATGCGCTTGAAACTTGGTTAATGTATGACAACATAAATCGAAGCGCGTTAGAAATACTGTTAACTGTTATTCTATGATTACAGCGTGCATACGATTTAGAAAGGAATACTTATTATATTGTGTAGTTTAAATATTTAAATTTGCAAGTAATTTAAATGATTAATAGTGTATATTGTTCATATATGAAACGTTTTGTTATACTATGAAAGTTTCTATTGCTTTTGCTTAAATTTGCGAACAGAATGTGAATATTATGCAAGCCGCAGGTTTCACCTATCCCATGGCAGTCATTATCTGTTTC